ATTTGATCACCTGCCACTTACCCTATGATTACTATCTGAATTCACCACCTTCTCGTATATATATGCCATTTAATCACTAACTGACTCGCAGACTCCACGTGTCTCCTGTAAAACTTCTGGCCTGGATGGCCCCTGCCTGCTGACCATGCTTCCCTCGGAGCCATTAGAAGCATGGACTCTTCAGACTGAATGGCTCTCTCCTCATGCCTGGGAGAGGTACAAGCATTTTTGGCAGGAAGCTTATCTGACCTTCTAAGCTGAAGCATCGCTGCTACATTCCTGCATCCTTGCAAGGGATTCCAGTTTAAGATAAGAAATTCAAATGGAATGGGTTGAGTTTAGCATCAGAATTAGATTAAGATGCATTTTATATGTTGCCACAACACAATTCTTTACTCATCTGCTTATGTTCTTAGAGGAAGCCTTTCTGCTCATCAGAGTTTCTTCCATTTTAATTTCCAATTCCAGTGGTCTTTGGATGTTCTCATGTTATCTTAAACACACACTCCATGGTAACAGTACGCAGAGCTTTCTTCCTGTTCCTTTGGGCAGTGTCGCATGGTGTGGAGTCTGGGCTTTCTTCCTGGGCAGATGTGGATTTGAATATCAGATCTGCTGTTTATTAGTGCTCGGGCTCAGAGGAGAGCTCTCTGCCCTAGACACTCTGGGCTTGCTTTTGCTCATCGAACATGCCAACATCACCTCTCTCAGCATCTCTGCACTTGTTGCCCCTGATGCTCTCCTTGTCTAGGTCTTCCACGAAGGTAGTCCTTGTCATTCAGATAGTAGTTTAAACGCCATCTCTTTGGATGGAACTTTCCTGAGCACTATTTCCAACCTACCCTGGCCCAGTCTCTATGATGTCATCTTATTTTTCTTTTAAGTGTTGCTCTTATTTACTTATCATCGGGTCATCCCAGTTAGAGTACATAGTTTTCATAAGCAGGACAAGCCCTTATCAGTCTTTTCCTCCTCCATATCTCTAGAGCTTTGAATTGTACCTAGTCCAAACAAGGTAAATTCCTTAGAAGTATTTGTGGAATGAATCAACAAGTCAGCATCTCTAGGCTTTAGTAAAATACAGACCATAGTCTTCCCCTTTAAGGTTAGTGAAGGTTAATATTTGTAACCCAATGTTCATGGAGGGACTTAATGTATGTGTGGCATACACTAAGTGTTCTATAAAGGACAGTAGTTATAGCTGTTTCTTCCCACTATTCTCTCTTCTCTAGTACATAGATTCCCCTAGGAACTTTGTACATCTTATTGCTATGAACATGGGATGAACTCAGTGAAACCCGGGTTATCTGTTTATAATTCACTTGAGATAGGGGTCTTACTTGTGGTTCAGGCTGGTCTCAAAATTTCCAGACTTGAGTGATACTACCAACTCAGCCTCTCAAGAAGCTGGGACAGTGCATACCACTGTGTCTGTTTATGAATTTAGTCAAAATAAAATTTCTTCTTTTTTAATGCAAACTTCATGGTACTTCTTTTTTTCAGTCTCAGCTTGTGAATTCTCTGCCCTGTGAGGGTTTTCCTGACTGTTCACAGTGGCAGGGTTAGGGAATTAGGTGACTATTTTCTGTGTGACCTTGACCAGAGACGTTTGATTTCAGTCATGCAGTTGCAGGTAGATCGTCCTCTACTAGACTAACGCGTGCTTTGAATTGTCCTTATTGTGTTCCTATCGACAGACCCCAGGCTTCCGAAGGTTCCTACTGTAAAGCAGCAGACAAAGAGCTTTATGCTGATTTGGCTCCAGTCCCTTAGTCATGAAATCAGAACATGAATGTGGATTGCACTATTATCAGAGGATTATAATAGTCTCTTCACATGGGTTTCTTTAAAGAGTACTTTCAACTCTATAAGCATACCTGATTTCATACAGATGTGATAGCACATGGATCATAGTAGACATTCAACAGCAGTCACTGAAAGATGTGCAAATTAAAATATTTTGGCAAATAAAAACATAATTAAACAGGTAAGTAGAACTTGTTACAGCTGGTCCTTTGTAACACATAAATATATTTTAGTTGAGATCATTAATACATATTTTAATTTAATAAAGTATGTTTAATTTTTTTCAATTTCATAACCATTCTAGTAGATGGAGTAAATGTGAAAAATGTTTGAAAGTGGATTTATATTCTACTACAAATCAATTTATGAACACTCTTAGGATATAAATTAAGGAAAAGACTCTTCAGTGGTTATAATTTGGGAACTCACCAGTTCGAACTGAAAATTCTTTTCAAACAAATACTTCCCCCATATTTTGTTTCTTTTGTCTTCTGTTTACCTGTTTTTTGTCCAGCTTCCTAGTGCTCCCATGAGTTTTAACTACAGCAGCAATAAAGTGTGAGTTTATTCAAGATGTGTAGAAATGTTACATTTCCTTAATTAAAAAGATGGGATATTCTCACCTATCAATGAATAGCTAACATGAATGTTACCTAACAGTTATTACATGTCAGTTGTGGAGTCTACATAAATGAGGCTTAAATGACATGCAGAAATTAATGTGGGCTTGGTATAAAGCTCAGTGGTAAAACACTCGCCTAGCAAGCACGATGCTATATGTTCAATTCCCAAGAAGCCCCATGTTTGCTTCCCCAAAACACCTGATTAGTTTTCTTGTTCTAATTGGTTTTCTTTATCTATGTGGGGAAAATTGTATAGTGCACACAACTGATAATAAATATTGTGTGTTACACTCACAGGAATAGCAAGTACTTTGCCTATTTACCATAAAACCAGTGTGTTTTTATGGGTGTTATCTTCAGTCATTCAACAATAGCTCTGAGACAATCTATTGAGAAGGAGGAAAGTCAGGGCTGGAGGGATGACTTGGTGGTTAAGAACTCTTGGTACTCTTACTGTGACCTGGGTTCCATTCCCAGTACCCATATCAGGCGGCTGGCAACTGTAACTCCAGTTCCACTGACCTTGAGGCCCTGGTCTCTGTCGGTCTCCTGGGACATCCGTATGCACATGGTATACATAAATGCATGCAGACCTCATACATACAAATTACGAATAAAAGAATATTGCTAAAAGGGAGGAAAGGGGAGCTGGGCAGTGGTTTGCGCATGCTTTTAATCCCAGAGGCAGAGGCAGGCGGATCTCTGTGAGTTCAAGACTAGCCTGGTCTACAAGAGCTAGTTCCAGAACAACCTCCAAAGCTACAGAGAAACCCTATCTCGAAAAAACCAAAAAAAAAAAAAAAAAAAAAAAAGGAGGAAAGGATTGTTTTGGCTTTGCAGGTCTCAGTCCATGTTAAAGCAGAATAGCATGGCTGAAGCTGAGGAAGCTGTTCACCTCCTGCTAACCAGGGAACAGAGAAGAAGAGGGCGGGGTCCCAATATCCTATCCATGGCATGCCTCAATAATATAGCTGCTATTATGTCCCACCTCCTAAAGGATCCACCACCTTCCAACAGTACTACCAGCTGGGAAGCCTTCAGCACAGCACAAGTCAAGCATTCATGAAAAAGGAAAGCATGAATAATCCCTGCCATGACACACAAACTTTAAAAATGGTTTAAAAGTGACCACAACAGACGTCATTCTGACGTGATGTGTATTTTGATAGATGGGGAGAAAAAAACCCAAGTACATTTCTCACAGTAGAATGAAATTTCTTTGCACTGGGGAGGGTGGAAATTGCAGTGAACTCTGCTGGGGCCCTTGGGAAGCTGTGGCAGAAGCAGAGCCTGAATATTTTATACTAGACCACTTTCACTTGTCAATAGTGAAGCTTTTACTAAACTTCTTCCTCAAACCTCATCATGTAGATTTTCTTTCTTTTCAAATGCTGCATAATAATTATAAATAAAGTCCTCTATGGATGATGACACCACTGACCACCATCAGAACAGGAAGCATTTTAGGATTGTGTCCCACAGGAATGTGTTTAGGTCTCACAGATTTTATTTAACCAGACCTTCTTACAGGCTTTTATGAATTAGCCATTTGCAGTCACAGTATACCTATGGCCATAGCATTGGGAAATGTACAAAACATTGATTTGAACCTTATAAGCTGAAGACAAACAACTCCTTAATTTGTCATTGTTTGTTCATTCATCCTTATTATTATAAGCTCTGTTTTGGGTACTGAAGAATTCACACTACGTAAGGGTGAGCAAAAAATTCTGACCCTATGCTTACAGTCTTATGGGAGAGACAGACATTGACTGGAGACCCCTTGTGACACAAGCCTGGGTTTCTGAATGCACAATGGCAATACAGAGTGTGAAGATGAGGTCTTCAGACATGGAGGAAGCCTGGGAGCAGAGGAGATTGGGAAGGATGGTGTGGCTGAGTCTCAGAGAGAGGACTGTGGTATGCAATGTGGTTAGAGAGCAGGCACAGACAGACCCGCAAGGATCTGGAGCAATAACTAGGGTGGACTCTCATCAGGTCTGTCTGCTGATCAGACCTGTGGAAGGCGATGGTAGTTTAAACAGTGTGGTGTGGTGGTGCTAGATGGAGGAAATTTGAGCTATTTAGGAGACAGACAAATTCAAGCATGATTCTTAGGTTTGTGGTTTGAGGAAATGAACATGGTGCTATTTACTGCAACAGGGAATAGGAGAGGATCAGAATGGGAGAGAAAGACTATGGGTTTGATTTTAGATATGTCAAGCTTGCAAGAGGAAGTCATCAAGCAAGCACCAGAATATAATGACACAGACAGCTAGCACTGTGATAACACCACCTGGCTAATGTTTAGCTATACATACATATGGCCATTGAGTTTAATTAAAACAGAAGCATTAGAAGACTGGAGAGATGCTTTTCTAGAATGCGTTGGTTCCATTCCCAGCACCCATGCTGATTGGCTCACAACTGCCTGTAATTCCTGCTCCAAAGGGATCTGACACCTTTGGCCTCTGCAGGCATCTGTACTCATGTGTACACACAAGTGTGAGTGCATACACACATACACACACACACACAGAGGCACACACACACACACAACACACACAAGCAAATCTTTAAAAATAATTTAATGTCTCTGTTCTACTAGTTACATTTTAAGTAGTCAATAGCTCAGAGGCAGAAAATGGCCTTGACATGAAGGAAGATTTGCGGTCTATCCTCATCACAGGAAAAAAAGAAGTGTAGTTAGCAGCTTTCATTTAATAGCCCAGTTCTAGAGCTCAGAGCAGTCCAGGGTTGGGAATACAAAAAATCGATGCTTATGTGCACAAAGTTTAACAGTGTAGTTAACAGTGTAGGAAGAGAATGGTCAGTGGAATGAGGAATCAAAGGACTGAGAGTCAGTTACCTTCAACGTGCAAAGGTCAGTGAAGAACAAGAAGGCTTCAGAGGGCACAGAGAAGAAGCAGACAGAGAAAGAAGGATAAGGATATCCTTAAAAGTCAGGAAAAGTGTGTACAAAGGAGACAGGAGAAGCAACAGTCACATGCTGCTGCAAGGAGGGCCAAGGGCGGTGAAGACTGAACATGCTGATTCCGTCAGTGAAATAGAGAAGTCTGGCCACTCCAGCAAGATCTGCTCCAGTGGGGGCTGGGAAGAGAAGCAGATAGATGAGCACGAGGTCATGAAGAGAGAGCTGACAGCAGGAGATAAACCTGTGAGTTCCATGATGTAACAAGTTGTCAATGCGATCACAATTACAAATTTAGTCAGGTAAAATGGAATTAATACCATAGACACGTGCTTAGAGCATTGTAGTTGCCCCTCTGGGTAACCAATCTGGAATATTTTGTCCTATGAGGAGGCATGCATACTGTGCTTCTCTCTTACCCTGACTACCTTGGAGGGCAGGTAAGGGGGGGCCATGCAAGGGCTCAGCGGAGGCCATATCAAGGAGTATTGTTTAGCCTTACAACCACAGAATGGGACAGAAGGCAGTTTCTTTTCTGAAATCTTGAAGCCAGTCCTCCAAGGGTATGGAGGGATGACTGCAACAGACAAATCAATAAGTAGGGGGATAAGGAAGGCAACCAAAGGGAAGAGGGGAGAATGGAGTTGCAAAGGTGCAAAATATGTAGATCTGTAGTCTTTATCTTATTGCCTATGTAATATGGGAATGCATCTCCTGAGAGAGAGAGACAGACAGACAGAGAGTCACAGTTTGGGACGTCTGTGGGAAATGGGCAAGAGCAGCATGGGGAAGACACATGCCAAACAGATAGGTAATTGCACTGTGCCTACGGGTGGGGTGAGGTAAAGGGAGAAGGCAGCTCCTCCCCGACCAGCTTGTGGTAATCTCACTTATCTCTCTTGGAGTCAAATACAGAATTATGGGGTGGGGAGGACCGAGCTGAGGTCTTTGGAGGAGTAAATGGGTGAAGGTGGGAGTAGAGGAAAAATGAAACCGGGAAGGCAGCTCCCCACCCATGTGACAGCCAGGGTGACTTACACAGAGCTGAGGAGAGTGAAGGGAAGCACAGACAAGGTCTCTCCAGTTTTGGGCCGCTATGATTAAATAGTCCCTCAACTGTGAACATACCTGACGTTTGGCAGCTGGAAACTCTCAGTTGGCTGCAAGTGAGTTTCAGGACAAATTGCCAGCGACTGTCCCTTTTTCTCTCCCTTCCCTTGGGCAGGGCATTTGTGTCAACAACAGTAAAGATAAACAACTCCAGTATATTACTCACATTCTTCTGTTCTTTGCTTCCAGTTTTGCTGCAGCAGTTTTTTTTTTTTAAAACCAATCTAGTGTTGCCAGTGTTCATACAAAACATATTGTATGGAGTGTATGCAGTTTTCTGGTAGTAATGAGGTAAGCCTCATTCCTTGACCTGTTGAGAATTGGAGCATTAGTGACCAATAAGAATTCTTTTTCTGGAAGACTGTATGTAGATCACATCTCAGGTTGCAGTTTGCTCTAGGAAAGAAATGAGAACAAGTGGAGTATGAGAGATTTTTTGTGTAAAAAGTCCCTGTATGAACTGCTGGTAGCTGAAAATAACTTACTTCCCACAACTGTGCAAAAACTCAGGGATAGATTTTCTGTAATTTTTGTTCAGAATCTGGAAGTTAACAGGCTCCTGGTTGACTTCCTCTTTCATGAAAGTCATCCTGCTCCGAATGTCATCCATCTCAGTTTGTGGCAACTTTCATCCTTCAGGGCAAAGATCTTGGAGGTATTCTTGACTTCTCACATTTCACATTTAGTCTGTGTGGAAACCCCATGGGTTCATCTGTTAAAGAACAGACCCTACATCTGAGTACTTGTCACCACATCCACTGTGATCATCCCTACCCGTTACTTTCATCTCCTGTCTGTAGTATTGTAGGGCCTCCAATAGATTCTCTAACTTTCAGTGTTTTTTTCTAGTAGCTGGATAATCCTATTAAATTATGGTAGTGTACATCACTCTCCTGTTAAAAACCTTTTCTCATTGTTTCCATGTTGTCTTAGGGTTTCTGTCGCTGTGAAGAGACACCATGACCATGGCAACTCTTATAAAAGAAAACAATTAATTGGGACTGGCTTACAGTTTCAGAGGTTCATTCAGTTCATGATCAAATGGAAAGGCAGCAGGAAGAGAATAAGGCACACTAGGCCTGGCTTGAGCTTGTGAGACCTCAAAGCCCGCCTCCAGTGACACAGTTCCTCCAACAATGCCACACCTACTCCAACAAGACCACAAAACCACACTTCCTAACAGATCCAGTCCCTATGAACCTATGGGGCTCTTTCCACTCAAAACACCACACCTATTTTACTTAGTAAATACTAGTGTCCTTATGATAACAGCACACAAGGCCTGTGGTTGCCAGAAGAGGGCATCAGATTCCCCACCCCAGAACTAGAGTTAAGTTGCTAACTGCTTTGTGGGTGGGTGCTGGGAATCAAACTCAGGTCCTCTGGAAAAGCAGCAAGTGCTCTTAGCCACTGAGCTACCTATCCAGGCCCTACTCAATCCTTCATATCATCCTGTCTTATATTGTACTGCTGTCCTCAGTTTCATAAAGTTATCTTGGCCTCTTTGGTGGACTTGAATACACTAAGCAAGATCCTCTCTCTGGGGCTAAGCATTGGCTGATCTGATTCGAAATTTTCTTTCACATATTCATGTAGTTTACTCCTTCAAGTTTGTGCTTTCCAGTGAGGCCTGTTTTGAATATTCTATTAAAAAATATACCTCTAAACCTCATCCTTTTACTGTGTATTTCTACCCACCCAGATACATATAATTGGTTTTTAAAATAAAACATTTATTATCAAAATACTAATTGGTTTTATTGTCCATTCAACTTTATTTTGTTCATTAACTGATCTATAGTACTTAGAATACCTAGTGCATAGTTAGTAAATATTTGGCAAATATTACTGAATAAATGGAAGTCTGGATTTCCTTTACTGAACCTGGGATAATCTTAAAATAAATAGACTTGAACTAAACTAGGTTTCCTTAGAGCATTAAATTCCAGTTGCATCAGTTATAATTTCATATTCAGACATAGTAGCTGGGATGGAACCAATAGGGAGTTAGATGGTGATTTCGTAGAGATATGTTAAATTAAGAAATAATTATTCTTTTATTTGTTGTTTATTTATGTATTTGGAGACAAGTATGTGGTACTACTCCGAACAAGGATTGTTCATTCTTTCTGTTGTACTTCTTATTAAAGCCAGGAGTTTATTCATGCTAAACGAGCACTCTATCACGGAGCTGTTTCCAGACTTGCTTTTTTTTCAGTTTATATGAGATCTAATTTTGCCAAGATGCCCAGGTAGGACTTTTATTGGAGGTCTTCTGGCCTCATACCTTCTAAACGGCTGGGAATGCCACAGGTCGTTTTTAAATTTAATTTTAAAAAGGTGCTTTTTTTTTCTGATAAGGACTTCCTCTTTCAGCTCAGGCTGGCCTCGAACTCACCGTAATCCTCCTGCCTCAGCCTCACAAGCGCTGAGATTACCAGTGTATTCCACCACGTTCAGCTGCCCCCCCTCCCTAAGCTCCCTAAATTCAGGCGCTTCATTTCGAGAATCTTGTGTAATGACACAGAATTCCGAGTGAGCTAGCATGGGCTACTCCACCTGAAATGAGCTTCTGGGAGTTAGGGTTCCTGAAGGCTGTGTCCCTGGATGGTGGAAGAGGTCTGGCTCCTCAGCTAGCTCTGTTGCCCTCCCAAAGCGAAACACTGCAATTTTTCCAGCGGGAGCTTCCAGACACGAAAAGATGACCCTTGGGCTAAGTTTCTAGGGCGTGACAAGCTGCAGAGCGCCTCAGAAAGCTGTTCCACACATTTTCAAACCTTTGTTCAAAGCTTAAACGGCGCCTCCCACTTCAGCAACATCCAAGTAGTTCTTTTCTTCTTACATTTAGCAAGCAACGTTTTAGAGTGAGGCCATGGACATGGCCTGGGGAGTGGAAGGAAGGGCAGACGCGAGAGCTCCTGCCAGGCGGACTCGCGAGTCTCCATTTTGTGGGGCGTCGGATGCCCCCGGGCTCCCCGAGTCAGGTGTGTGACTTGGAGCCGCCGGGCCTCACTAGCCCTCGAGGTAGGATCACGGTTTCTACGGCCAAGGGCTCAGTTGTCTTGTGCAACTCGGAACTGCCTTGGCGGGGAGGGACGCAGCCCTGAGCTCCACCCCCGCGTTTTACGATCATTGTTCTCCCGAGGCGCCGCCTTCCCGCGCCCTGGCTCCGCCTGGAGGCGCGCACATGAGCGGCTCCGCCGCGCCCATCGCCAGCACTTCCCTCCCAAGGCGAAAAGGTTCCCGCCCCCTTCGGTTCCGCCCACTCGGCCCCGCCCAGAGTCTGCGCATGCGCCTTCGTCACCCCGTCCGAGCGCTCCTCGCCCCTCCCTCTAAGCCTCCGGGCGCGCCGCGGGCGGGGCCTCGCGGGCGGGGGCGGGGCCAGAGCGCCTCTCCCGGGGGCCCGACCGGGATTAGTTGGTTTCGGAGAGGAGGAGAAGGAGGAGAAGGAGGGAGCAGCGAACGCCGAGACAAAGCCGCGTCGCGTCCCGAGGACCGAGGGGAGTGGGCCGGGGGCTCGGTGGCGTCCCGGTCAGCCGAGGGGGTTGGTGCGCCGCTGCCTTGCAACAGGTCGGCCGCCGGGCGCGCGGCCTCGTCCTCTCACGGCTTCTCCGGGCCCGCGACCCCCGGCTGACTTCTGCTCGGCCAGGCCGCGGCCGGACCCCCGCTTCCATGCGGTTCGGGTCCAAAATGATGCCGGTAAGCGGGTGGGCGTGCTGGGGCCGGGGCGTGGGGCCCGGAAGTATGCGGGGCGCTGGGGCCGGGGCAGCCGAGCTAGTAGAGCTCGGGGCTTCGGGACTCCAGGCTCCGTTCCGCCCGGTCCCCTCGCGAGGGTCGCGGTGCTGCCTCGCAGGTCTGGGCGGCAGCCACGGGCCGCTGCTCCAAACTTTGCCTTTTGGGGGGGGGGTTGTTTTGAAGGTCAAGTGCCGGGGAGCCGGGAACCTTGTTCTTCAATTGTTTGAGCTTTTTTACTGGAGTCAAGCATAACGCTTGAAGAGGCTTGCCTTTCTTTTTCTTTATTTCTGCTAGTTTTTTTTTTAACCCCCCTTGAATTTCGATCTGATGTTGGCGATAGCAGCCAAGTCACCCTATCTCTTTGTGGAAACAGGCTTTAGTAAATGTAGCCTCAAAAGTTTTAGTTTGCAGGAAAACTTCTGAGACCCGCTCCCTCAGCTTGTTCTGCAAGATCTCCGAGAAAGAGTGAGTTCTTTAGGCATCTGACGTGACCACCAGACCACAGGTGATCTGCAGTTTAGGTGGAGATGATCCCAAAAAGCCACTTTCTTTAGCGAGCGCAAGATTTGGCTGGTTGTGGTGGCTTCTGTGTTGTGGATTTCCTTGTGGGTGCTGTGTTTGCTTCTCTCAGGCAGAATCAATCTTGCAATCAATTTGAGTTCTGTTTTTAAAAAAAATTTTTACAATAATCAGCTTTTATATATTCTTTGAAAAGTTAATGTATTTTAACCATATCCATCCCTACCCCCCAACCCATGTTCGTATAGCTTCACTTGGTTAAGAAAACAAAACAAAAAACCTAACACAACTTTATTTTTGCTTTTGTAAAATCCGTGGAATAGAGTGATGAAATTTGTGTGTGTGGGTGTGTAGGTTCTATTTTGTTTTGTTTTTGTAATTACACATGCAGAATGTTGTCTCTGTTCCCCCTTGTGTTGTAGATGATGTCTTAAATTATTCTGTCTTATACACATACATAATAATTTGATTTTTGGGGGTTTAGATGTCTTGGGAAGAGTCAAGGAATTTGGAATTGCTAGCATTTTGTAACTTAGTACTCATTTATTGAGTTAGGTTTGTGATGTGACTGCCTCATAGTGAAATACATACCTTGATAACGATAGGTTTTATTAACTTTTTTATTCCTTGGGTTTTATTTCTTTGTTGTGAAAAGACTTGTGTAGTGTAGGTTGTCTACCAGTTTTTTTCTGAAGAGTAAAAGGAAGAGAATAGGTGTTTTTGTTGCAATATTACCTCTTCCTGAAAGGTCAGTCTAATATCAAGGTATCTTTTGTTTTTGTTTCATGTAGGGATGTTTTTCTTCCAACTATGTAGCTGATCATCAGAATTCTTATAAGAAGTTAGTAATCTTGGGACTAAAGTCACTTAAGTCATGTGGTTTTGACAGCTTTTCTGATGTCAGTAGAATCATGTAGTGTGTGTGTGTGCATGATGCCCTTTGGAATTTTTGCACAGCATTAGTAATCCCAGATGTTAAAAAAGGAAGAAAGGAAGGAAGAGAAAGAAACTGTCTCTTTGCTTCAGCATCTGTGACTTGGGGATGATGGAATACCAATTCTCAGTAGTCTGGAAGATTAGAGTTACTGTTTATGAAGAGAAGGATTAATATGGTCCCTGGCTTGGATAGGTGCTACATAAAACTCCTGAATTGGCAACAGTGATTACACATGAGATTTTTATTTAGTGATACATAAAAATATGATTGATTTCATTTAGCAGCCTTGTGTTCTTTTTACAAAAGATTTATTTTGTGAATACAAATGTTTTACTTGCCTGTATGTCTGTGTACCATTTGTGTGCCTGGTGCCCACAGAGGTCAGAAGAGGTCATCAGATCCTCTGGAACTGGATTTAGGATGGTTGTGAGCTACTCTGTAGGGTGGTGGGAATTGAACCCAGGACCTCTTTAAGAATAACAAGTTCTCTTAACCACTAAGCATCTCTCCAGCACCCAAGCCTCAGGTTGAACGTGTTTTATACTTGTATAAAAAGAAAACTGCGTATGGTAGAAAGGATGAAAACCAGGGCCTTGCATACATGGTAAACAAGTACTCTGTCACTGGGCTATAAAGCCTCTGAAAGTGTGTTTTGGCTCTTTGAGATAGATCTTGCTGTGTGGTACCTACTCTGTAGCCCAGGCTGCCCCTGCCCTTTAGCTTACAGCAGTTCTCCTGCATCAGCATCTGGAATGCATGGACAACAAACATGGCCACCATTCTTGACTTAAAACCGTCTTCCTAAATTTGGTTTTCATCTTTAGCTTTTAATGTGCTTGGCTTTTTATTCTAATACGAGCAAGGTTTTGTTGCATGTTGTTTGTTACTACTTTGGAAAAGGAGAAGTTTATCAGGGAGAGCATCACGCTAATGAAAAGATGGGCATTCAGAGTGTAGACCAGTTGCTTTGATGTGCCTTTTTAATGTGGTAAAACATACAGAATTTGAAGTTTTACCTTTCTAGCCATTTTCAAGGGCAGTTTTATGGCACTAAGTACATTCCTTGGTTTGTTTTGGAAGGCATTCTGGTGTCCTAGTGTATTATATTAAATATATACAAACCCAAAGGTGTTCATGTATTTTCTAACCAAATAGTACAGACTCAAGTAGTTTTCCTCTATGTGGGACGTGAAGTGATAATTGGTTACAAAGCCAGAAGTGGAGATGCATTTTAGCAGGCTAACTAAAAATAACCGGGAATCACAGAGCAGCTAATGACAGGGTAATGCGAAAGTGGCATGATGCTTACTCTCGGTTTTTTTTTTTTTTTGATACCTGCCATGGCATCTCTTGTTCTGTGCTATCTATCTCCACCACTTAGTGAGGAGAAACTGACTTTATAGTTGACATCTTACCTTCGTTTAAGAAGGGTTATTTAAGAAGGGTGGCTTTTTAGTCTTCCATTCATTGTAACTGATTTTCAAATGGAAGCAATTATCCAAAACAAAAAATCTCACCCACTTGAAAATGATACTAGATTTCTTTTTATTACTTTCATGTTGTATTCCAACAAAAATATGTTTTTACAAAAGAGCCTACCCAACACTGAAAGCATTTACTACTCTTTTCAGAAAAGTTTCATTAAAATGTTTGTTCGCCGGGCGTTGGTGGCGCACGCCTTTAATCCCAGCACTTGGGAGGCAGAGGCAGGTGGATCTCTGTGAGTTCGAGGCCAGCCTGGTCTACAAGAGCTAGTTCCAGGACAGCCTCCAAAGCCACAGAGAAACCCTGTCTCGAAAAACCAAAAAAAAAAAAAAAATGTTTGTTCACATCTGCTTTTGAAATGGTAAATTAAAAAGCAAAATCTACCATTGAAAAACTACAGCCTGTAATAGCCAGTACCCATAGAAGGCCAGTGGGCTTGGATTTGTGTAGACAGTAGGGTGAGCTGCCCTGTATTATCCCGCAGTGCCTTGTACACAGTGTGGCTATTGTGAGTGAAGAACTGAACTTGGAATTATGTTTAAATAACTGCATGTGCCTGGTGGGGACTGTTTTGCCTGTGCAATCAAACCAGATGTCACCATACTACAGATAATCTTTCCAGACAAACTAGTTGAGTTTAAAAAGCTCAGTTGATTTGACTGTAGTTAGCTTTAAAATTTGTGGCATTTTTTTTCCCTGTCTGTGCTGCAGGGGTGTAATTGCTTGGAGTTGTTTATTAGTGCTGGGAAACAGAGCCTGGTTCTCTGAGCTTCTGGCATCAAGAGTGCTAATTGGTTATCGCAGTGACTCCTTTGCAGTCTGACCCCTCCCTGGCCATCAGCTTTTCTATTCTGTAGTTCCCCTCTGCAAACCAAAAGCAGGGCTTCTGCTTAAGTACTGTGTTTCCAAAAGCCCAGTTTTGTTTGCCATTATTTCCCAAACTGGAATTGTTTTTTTTAAACTAAAAAAAAAAATCTTTTAAGTTACAGATGTGGGGGGCTGGAGAGATGGCTCAGTAGTTAAGAGTACTGTCTGCTCTTCCAGAGGACCCAGGTTCAATTCCCAGCACCTATATGGCAGCTGTAACTTCACTTCCAGGGGTCGAATGCCCTCCTCACATACCAATGCACATAAAATAAATACAAACATTTTTAAAAAGTTACTGATGTGGAGCATTGAGCCTGTGTAAATTCTGTTCTCTGAAAGAATTCCTTCCAGCTGACTAGGATAAGAAGGTACTGCATGTGGGTTTTATTCCAGAATGAAGTTTATGCTTAGCTAAAGATGAGTTCCTATCTCTAGAGTTGTAATTTTCAAAGGCCATTGAATCATTTATTTTTAGAAATGTGCGAAAGATCTCACATTTCATGTGTTTCAGTTTTGTGGCCTTGTGACTTCAATTATATTACATGTGATTTCACATTTGAAATTTTCTGTTTTTTTTTGCCTTTTAGAGAAATCAGACTTAGTATAAAGAAATGTAATCTAATATGCACTGCCCCTTATTTTAAAAATTAAAGGGAATTAGCTTATCTGGAAGGGACCTTGGAGGGTCATTCTT